TAGGCAAGATAAGGGATCTTATGCTCACAGATCTACACAGGGTCTACAAAGCACCCTAAATTACGCAAATTGTGTATATTATTTTGATTCTATTTTGAAATATGAAATTTGGTGCATCTAAATTTCAGCGCCAAATTTCAAAATAACGCACTGTTTCAAGACATCCCTTAACCCTCGTGGAATGAGAGCTACAGGGCTGCCAAAATAGTGTGCCCATTATTTTGAAATAATGAGCGGCTTCTTAAGACACGAGGTAGCTATTTTGGGTTACCTCCAGTACCTCCGGTATCCCAAAGTAGCCGCACAGTGTAGATGTACCCATAGAGAGAGTGGGAGATGTGAAGGCAACCTATGCAGAAGTTTCTGGATGTCATAAAGGGTGTGGACTCAGCCACATTCAAGAAATTGGATTTTGGCAGATTTATTCTGCATGAACTGGAGGGAGTGAAGTGAGAATAAAGGAGAAAAGAATGGGGTGCATTTGGAATAGTTAAAGTGAGAAATTACAAAGATTTGGACATGGGTTTTTCCAGTAGAAACAGAAGGGAATAGGTGTCTCTTAAAGTTGATGTAGACTCAGTACTAAAAGGGATAAGGGATCTTTCGGAAAAGGCTTTATTTTCCGAAAGATCCGTGTCTAGACTGGTGCTTTTTTCCGGCAAAGCTCCGAGCCAGAAAAAAGTGGCAGCCATTTTTATGCTGAAGAAGTGGTGGGGGTTTAAATCCCCGCTTCATTTGCAATTGCGATATGTCTAATTTGCATCCCTTTTACGGAAAAGGGATGCAGTCTAGACACAGCCCTGAAGAATAACATCTCTCCCTGAAAAGCAACCTAATTTTTTTTTAAATCAATGCTGGCTTCTGAACATTCAAAGTCCATTCTCTTTCCAAACAGCAGACACAAGCATAGGCAAATACCTGCAAAGAAGAGGCCACTTCTTGCCCATGAAGCCATGTAGTTGACTATTTTAACTCTGAAGAACCCAAAGGTACCAATACAAGAGTTTTGATTTTATAGATAAACAGCTGTCATGCATTGGCCTCCACTTACTTTAAAGACTGGGGTTGCCCGCTTTTACACAGCGGTTAAAACAGGGAACTCATATAGGGCCTGTTTTTTTGTGGTCCTCGGTGCAGTTTGGTTTTACGCAGGGCTCAACATGCGGCCTGCGGGTGGGATCCTTTGACCATGGCCACCACTGGGAACACTCCACAACAGCGAGGCGTCTCAAATGCATGGTGAGCATTGAAAGATGCAAGAAGACGGGCTGGCTGGAACAGACTGGTACAGAGTGTCGGTGTTTCTAACCCCCAGGGAGGAGCTGCCAGGAGTGCTGGGGCTTTGTGGGAAGTGCTTTGTATTCATGCTTGTCAGTATGAAAGAAGCTGTTTGCATATATATTTGCATGTATATGCAACCACACTTAAGTTGAGGCCCTCGGCATGTGCTGTCAGTATCATTGTGGCCCCCGGGGCTTCCAAATTTGAGTAGCCCTGGTCTTAGACAGTGCTTGGTCCTGCTGTGAGGGCAGGGCACTGGACTCAATGACCTCTCAAGGTCCCTTCCAGTTCTAGGATTCTATGATTCTGTTGCCATCTTCCTACCCTATCTCTAAATGAGAAATACCAAAAGAGAATAAGGCTTGAAAAATGTACCAGATACCTGTGTTAAAAATCAATATAAAAATTAGGGTAGAAAGATTCACTGCAAAGCACCTGGTGAACCCCACTTTTACACACACTCCTGACTCTTTCAGATCTGGGTGAGAGTGCTAGGATTCCTTTAGTGTGTTCTCCCGGGACTCTGGTTGGAAGTCTTTCTTTATAATCTGCTTCTGCCTGATGGCAGTCCGACAAAGTGAAAGACTCCTACTGCCCCGTAGTTTCATAAAAGGCTAAGATGACAGATTTTTGCTCTCTTTCCACCTCACAGCTTTCTGACTGTTGAGTGGACCTCATCTGATCCCCAGCAATTTGAGCCTCTGTTTGTGAGTTCCTTTGTCTTTCTCTATGGGTAGTCATAGCTTGTCTCATCACTTTCATGCTGTTGCTGCTTACGAAACCTGAGACAGACAAAGCACTGAACTAGTTTCCATATGGTTCATCCTTTGTAACACTGTTTTTGCAATCAGATGTGAGAGTTGTGTATTTGTTAAAGCTTCAGTTCTGGTGAAATTGATGTCTTATTGCCAGAGATTCACTCATCTGATGAAGTGGGCTTTCCCCATGAAAGCTCATGATTCTCTCTCTCTTCAGATGAGCTGGAGTGGAAATAATAGAAACCCAGAATTTACAACAGAAAAAGAAGGGCGGGGAGTTGCAATTGAAGTACTGGTATTAATGAGGCTGAGTAGGCTAGAAGTGTCCAATACTAAGCTATTGATGTAAATGAGGTGTTAAATGCAGGGAAGGCTGGCTTGATAATGTGACATCCAGTTAATGTCTTTGTTCATACCCAGGGAAACAATGTCATATTGGCAGATAAATGTCAATTCTGCACTCTCTTTCTGTAACTGGATTATGAAATTCCTTTGTAGAAGAAAGAGCTATAATTATCCTATAATTGACCCCCCCCCCCCCTTATTTTTCTGTTATAAATTCTGGGTTCCTGTTATATCCACTCCAACTCATCTGAAGAAGTGGGTTTTGCCCAGAAAAGTTCAAAGTTTAACTTTGTATCACAAATCAGGAAGAAATATGCACAGAGGTATCAGGTCAAGAGAGTGTAATGTATCTTTAGAATTCCTACCTAACTCATCTGAGCTCCCAGATAAATCTACCAATACACTTGGCTGAGAGCCTGCTGTATCAAAGTCTACTCAGCTACACTGTTATTACTTACACAACTACTTTGTAAATGAGTCATGGAACTTGACTCATGTTCATAAGCTTCTAGGGTTTTTTTTTTTTCTGGTAAAGATCCAAATTAATGTTTCCATGTTTTGCATGTATTTTTGAGTCAATTATTGTATGTTTAATAAATGCCACTGGATTATTAAAACATGACCAGCAAGGCATTAACTACTCTGTTAGGTATTTTGCCATATATACTTTCTGTTATATGATCATAATTCAAATCTAAAACAACTGTAAAGCAAAGCTATGAATTTAAAACAAAAACAATCATCTAGAATCAAGAGGCTATTCCCACCCACAAATATTGGATCTCAACCTACAAGTGTCCTTTTAATGTACAAAGGCAGAAGAACAGCTGCTTTGAAAACAAGTTCATACATCAAACACAATATGTCTGTACAACACAGATTAGATACAAAAGGAGAATTGCTAATCCAGGAATATTCTAAACTATATATCCTCCATTCATAATGCAGTGCAGCAGTCCAGCTTTTGCATTCTGTATATTAGCAACATGCCCATGCTGGACCTCAGGAGCTTCCTGGTCTCATATCAGAATGGATCTCAATTAAATGAAACCCTTTTTCCATATGCAAGATAACCCCACTCATCTTTTTGTCTTTCCACCCTCTATCCATTGTAAATCTGATACCAGACTCTCAGATTTCACACCTGAATTAAGCAAATAGTTCAATTTAGAAACCATTCCAACATGAAGATGTCCTCCACTCCCCACCCCTTCCCCCAGGCATGGTTCAGTTTCATCTCCTCTCAGCATGCAAAAGACATGCAGATGCTTGATTGACAAGCTGATTCCAATGTAGTTTTATATTAGATCCACCTTGAAGCTTTCTTTTCTTATCACTGGGTGGAGAGCAGAAAAGGGGTGGAGTAATTAGATAGATCCAGATTCATTCATTTCTAGATTCATGGATTTTTTTAAACTGGAGCCATCCTATGCTGACTATTTTGAGTTACATTTCTTAGCAAATTAACATGTAGCATATTGGTATGTTAAGCCAATCAAACCACGGTCTGACATCTTATGTCCTTTGCCTACATGTAGATATTATTTGAACAGAATAACCTCAGCATTAATCTCATCTAGATTATTCAGGGGACAAAACTGAGTTGTGAAAATAATCTATAGGCTATTTTTCATTTAGAACAGCCACCAGAACAAAGTTTCTTTAGATAAACAGCAGAATGTGGCCCTTTCTCCAATGTTCCTGGTCTTCTGGGGTGAAGTATGAAACAATTTATCAATATGTCATAGAATGCTTAATTTATACTGTGTATTGAGAGGATTACTGGGTTACCATGTGAAAAAACCTCAAGTGCTGTGTTAGCCTTTCTTCCCTTTGTAGGAAAAGTCTAGGGACATGCAGTTACTTTTTGAGGACAGTCAAATTCCTCCCACATAAAAGTAAAACCTACAAACATTGTGAGGGTAAAACATTGTGCTGTTTATCTCACAATGAGTTCTGCATGGCTACGCCCTACTACCCATTTTAAATCCAGTATAATCCAAGGTTCCTTCCAGATCATTTTGGATATTTAACATGTTGATACAATCACTGTATCTCTACTAAGTAAGCTATAAAAGAATCAATATGTACAAATAAAAGCCTCTGCCTTGTAGGGAGAAAAAACAGGCAATTTTCTTATATGTATCCTCCCAAAGCTTCCCCAATCCACTGCATTTCAATGATGTTTCGAAAGTGTGTCTCTATATCACACTCTAAATATTCCATTTTGTAGAACAGCAAATATAATCATCAAGTACTTTGGCAGCAACTATTAGCAAAGCCCATTGCCTGAGAACATGTGAGAGTATTAAGATGCCATAGCTGACCCGATCATAATTTAGTAACATTTTTAGACACTTTCAAAATACATACACATTATCCCCCAGTTTAATGTCTGACTTTTCAGCTGCTTCCTATGGTGATTTTCTTTTCTGTTCTGTAGGTATGTCTCTCAACTAATGCCATTTTCTTTCCACCCTCAAAACACATTTCACTCTATTTGAAATTGCAAGGTGAGAGGCACCGAAGTAGTAGAATTTCCCTAATCATGAAGGGTTAGACTCCTGTTTTCCTTACTGTTCCTCCAGAATACCATGGGGAGGGTAGTTAAGATGTTTGCAGGTGGGCATGTGCATTGTGCTAGCAATGGCTGGCATTATCAACACAAAAGAGAAGAGGCAGGGAATTTAAGAAGCCTCATGTCGGCCACATATAGTGCTGATGGAGAGCCAGCAATAACAGAGAGAAGATACGCAAAGAGCCAGGCCTGTTCGCTTGGTTTTAAAAGACCCCCTTGCTATTCTGTTTCATTTACTTCCATAGTGAGTCCCTTATCCAGTTAATGTAGGATTGAGAGGGAAGCCTGTTCTAAAGCAATCTAAGTCGGACAAGGCCTGATTTTCTATGTAACTATTAACCAGGAAACACTGTTAAAGCTAGTCCAGCAAACACCAGTCTGTCCTGTACCACTCATTAACCAGCCATAGGAGGGGGCATAAGCAGACCCTTGGTAAATGAGGAAAGGGAGCATTTTGGTAAAGGCAAGTTATTTTGCTAATAAAAGTGGCACTGATTTACAGCTGTCAAATATTGGCAGGGATATCTGGGCAGTGGAGTAGGATGAGCTCCGGCATGTGACCCAAACTCCTACACCCCATTGCAAACACCTACCGTATTCCATGAGAGACTCGCATTGCCAGTTGAGCGCATTGTTGAACTTGGTGCAGCTCTCCCATAACGACGCCTGGTGCTGGTAGGGCTTTGACTCCGATTCCAGCCAGCCCTTGCCGGCCAGTGCAATGATGCCCGAGATGATAGCTAAGCCCAGGAGAAGGGGCAGGAGCCACCTGCATCTCCAGCAGGCAAGGGAACACGTCACCATCTCACACAGTAGTCAGGGCCTTCTGCAGAGAATAGGTGCCCAAGCCTGAGAGTTGTTTCTGGATTCCGCAGGGAGGGGTGTTTTAAGAAGCCTTCTCTGAAGAGAGAGAAGGAGTGTGTGTGTGTGTGTGTGAGCTGCTTTTTAATCAGCGGAAAGGCACTAAGGGAGGAGGGAACCCCACCTAGATTCCAGTGACTAAGAGCAGCAGCAGTAACCTGTGGAGCCAGAGAGGAGCTGCAGGGCTGGGCTCAGCTGCCTTGCTCTGTTCCTTCCCCCTAGCTGGCTGCTAAACAAACCAAGGCTACAATTATACTTAACCCTTTCCTACCTGGCACCGCCCATGAAAAATGCACTTTGTGCATTCACAAGTCTTTTTTTCTGTAAAAGGAAATTCAGGGCTGTCCTAGGCTGCAAGAAAGTGAGATTGCATAACATGTGATATATAAAGTCTCATTGAAAGACACAAAAAAAGCATTCTGTAGTGGTGCTGATCAAAACTATAAAACTAGTCCCTTTTTTCTCCATCTGTAAATCAGCTACAAACTGATCCAGAATTTCTTAAATATTTTCCATGTTAGTTTGAAGTATTAGTTTCCAACCTGTAAGTTGTTCATGAACAATTTATTTTCATTCTTCACTATTTATTATTCATGTTATGTTGTAGTTTGTAACTGGTCACCTAAGTCTGACAGATCTCATTCAGTTCCCACAGATTAGGGTGTCTAACATTTCCTTGTGGCTGTCTTGTTGGCAGTTGCAACTAAACATGACTAAAACTAAGATACTCATTTTATCTCCCATGCTTTTCTTTCTTCCCACATTCTTGATAATTTACTATCCCTTCTGTTGCTCACAGCCAGAGTCTGAGTACTGAAAACAAGTCAGTTACCAAAAAATGATAATATTAATATGTTAATCTCACATATTGAAGGCTTAAACCCGGTTGTTATTGAATTAAAATGTGTGACTTCTCACCCAATTTTGAGACAGCAAAAATGCAAATTTTAGGGGCAAAAACTTTTTTGAATGGAAACGGTAAGTTAATAAAAAGGAAATCTGCTTACCTACAGTTATGGTCAGAATTATGCCAGGTACCTGTTTGTTGACAGACATTAACTGATTTATTGGAATATACGGCAAGGAAAATTAATTCTGCCCCCAGAATTTTTAGAACTTGCAAGTACTTGTGACATGGTAGCACAAAACAGCTTATGAAGTATCACTCTTTTTTTTTAAAGTCCTTTTCAAAGGAGACCACTGCCAAACTCTGGAAAGAAAACACAGTTGTTCATACCAATTTCAGTGAAACTTGGATGAAAGAGGTGGCTCAGTTAATAATGGTATTAAGTTTAATTCCCATAATATAAGTAATTTGTTCTAAAAAATAGCTCTATTTGATGCTTAGTGACATATTTGTGAGTGCAAAAAATGGACAAGTGTGGCTATAAATTATAGTTTATCTTGAAGGTACTTTTGAACTAAATTGATACTTCTAATTATTTAATAAATTCCTGACTTTGGAATTTTAAGGGTTGAATTGATACTCACCATTTAATTAACATATAAAGTTTATAAATGGCATGCCGAGTTTAATTGACAAATTAATGAAGGATATGTTTCAAGATACATTGTTCTACACCGATATTGAAAATACCTACCTAGAATAAATGCATTTTATTTTCCACTGTGTGTTAACATTTATTGGTCTATTGATTTGATATAGATTTTTATATAAAGTTTTAGTATTTTATGTGAAAATAATTTATTTAAAAATTATGAACACTATTTTCTAACCAACTTTATTTCTCATTCTTTAATTTCTAATATTGAATTTTGTTTTGGTTAATAAAACATATAAACATAAGAATTCTTAGCTAAGTCAACTGAGATATAAACTATAGCAAGAAGTATAAGATGGGTAAGTGAGTAATTGAAAATTTCTTAAGGAATATAAATTTGATACCATGCATACATCATGTAGCATACCCACATTTTTAATGATCTCTGTGGATCCAAATATTCCTACTTATTCCTTTATAACATGTCCTGTTTTCTGTCTGCTCCAGACTGCCAAAGCTCTCACTCAGGCCGTTTTCATATTTTATTTTGTATACTTTAATTTTCTCTTCTTCAGCTTTGACTATTGCTACAATGCCCCTGCAATTCCATCCAAAGCGATGCTCCAAAATTCATCTTACCTTCAGGTCGGTCTTGTTATTCAGACTGTTCAGACTGTGTTTTTTCACATGAACAATAAAATATAGGGCCTAAATCGAGTGTATATGTAAAGTATCAGCTCTTTGGTGATTAAGGATATCCCTAGGAATATGTCTACACTGCGAGCTTCTTTTGGAATAAGCTTTTCTGGAAGATATCTTCCAGAAAAGCTTATTTCGAAATAGAGCATCTGCACTACAGGGAAGCCTCAAAATTAGTCCGGGGCAGGCTCCCACAATGTGGATGGGCTATCTCGATGTAGAGCCCCAGGAGACATTGGGGAGGAATGTATGTGTAAGTCCTTATTGGGGAGAATATGGCTCCAGGAGAACCTGGGTATTTTGCTGTAAAACGTGTAACCAATGCCTGTTTAGAAGTGCTCAGTTTGTTCAATGGTGAGACTTACCATACCACCCACCCTTATCACTCAGACAACTAGCCTAAGTGGAAACATTGTAGTTTCTTCAGATCTAAAAACAAATATTTTATTGAGAGCAATGCACTCATGGCAAAGGAAGAAGACAGAATTATGTTAAGATTAAAATATTCTTTGTAAGAGTCACAGATGTGTTGGGATAAGAGTGCACCACATAGGCAGAGAGAACTGGATTCTTATGCTGTCTACGATGAGAAACTCTAACTTTATGAATTCACATAGACCCATTAAGTCAATTCATTTGGTAAAGGGATAATTCACATATATAAAATTAGGAACACATTTTAAGTACCTTACTTTACTGGGGTCTAAAAGAAGTATAGGGTGGGGCAACCCTTGCTACATAATCTATGTCCCCTGCAGTGCATCTATCATAGTACTGTTTAATATTTTGCTAAAGACTTGGCCACTTCCTTAACTCACCCAGCCACACCCTTTCTGGTTTCACAACACTGCCATCAGCACTGAACTGGGCTTCTCCTAATCCCCAGCGCAGTACAACTCCACAGATCTTATTCCTCCCTTCATTTGTAAATGAATGAATGTCAATGAAGTCCAGCCTATATTTCTCCCATCGCTGCCCTCAAGCCACACTCCTTGCTTCTCACCAGAACGATCCTTTGCACCCTAGGGTGCATCTACACTGCACGGTTCTTCCAGAAATACAGCTGTTATTCTGGAAAAACAATACTAGCATCCACACCGCAATTGCATTATTTCAAAATAAAATTGAAATAACACGGCTTTTCTGACATTGGTAAACCTCATTCCATGAGGAATAATTCCTCTTCCGAAAAAGCTTTTCGGAATATCTGGATATCTTCCAGAAAAGCTTATTCCAAAAGAAGCTTGCAGTGTAGATGTATTCCTAGGAATATCCTTAATCACCCAAGAGCTGATACTTTGTTGGGTGGCACAGAGGAAACAGATTTGCTCAAAAAAAGAAGACTTGCCCTTATGTTTTGCATTGCTATTTGGGCTCTGCTTCTGGAGACCTCGCTGAGTTGTATAGAAGAAATAGCTGGGACCATCCAGCAGAAGGAAAACCTCTTGGGAAATCAAAATAAGTTCAAAGAAAATCTAAAACCAACCATGTGTTATCTGTGGCCAAGTGTTCAATAACTTATCACTGACATTTACCTACCCTCAGTGCTAGTGTTCCTGTTATCTAGCACTGAAAAATCAAACAAACCAATATGGCAGCCTTAGCAGAGCAGGAAGTAAGCATAGTGCCTCTCTCCTGCAAAGGGGGCATTGACTGAACATGCCCAGAGAGCAGAGGGTAACTATCAGCTCTGAGAAACAACCCAAACCTTAGTGATGTGAGCATGGGAAAAGGATACCATAACCTATCATGAAAAGAACTAAAACTCTGTTTAACTAAGCTACTCAAATGTCTTGGCCTAGTGACTAACTTGGGCACAAAACATTCAGTAACAAGATACTATCTCAGACATATCTGAGCCTCCTGAATTACAACACAAAATCATGTGCACTGTAATTAGAGTTAATTTAGACCAGTGTTCCCTGTAATCTGTGCAGCCACTCAGGAGAGATTCCTGATTAACAGAGAGCCCACAGGTAGGTTTTTTGTTTTTCCCTAGTGGTGCACATTTGTACAGGCCTACGTGCACATAAAAAGTATTCCACATATGGACGGAAAAGATTAGTGGACACATTGATCTGGATAGTTTCTTCCTCCTAAATGTCACTGCTACAGTGACAGTCATAAACTAGGGAAACCATTAAGGTGCTTCAAGGGGTAGCCGAGTTAGTCTGTACAGGATAAACTTAAAAAACAACAAATGGTCTGGTAGTACTTTAAAGACCAACAAAATATGTAGATGGTATCACTAAGGTGCTGCTAAATGATTCATTGTTTTTTAAGTTTTTTCATAAGTTACCCTGCAGCCTTTGTCCCACCCTTAATTACTGAGTATAAAAGTGTTGTATACCCTTTGTTTCAAATCAAAGAATTCCATCACTTTTTTTATTTTGTAGTAATATTTTTCTACATTAGTTTCAAAGGGGTAGCCATGTTAGTCTGTAACTGAAAAAAAGTAAACAACAAATAGTCTTGCTGCACCTTAGAGACTAACAAAATACATAGATGGTATCATGAGCTTTTGTGGGCACAACCCACTTCTTCAGATGAATAGAGTTAAGGGGTACAGTTTCCAAATAAATAGCAGAGTAGAGCCCACAGCATGGGGTAGCAGCTGGCTCCCTGGAAGCAGGGATGGCAGCTGAAGCCGGTGCATGCCTGGAGCTGGCTAATGTCTCTCTGTATTTTAGAGTGTGTCTGACTGTGTTTGTCTGCAAGTCCATTTGCTCAAGAATTCCTCCTAATGGGTAAGAGCTAGGGCTTACAGTTTTGGTATGCAATTTCCTCTTCTCCTAACTTAAAGCATGGTCATGGTGGGGTTGTGCCAGGACAACTGCAAGCAGGGCCAGATTTATCCATTAGGCACAATAGGCACAGTGCGCAGGGTCTACTAAAAGTTTAAGGGCCTAAAAAATTTCATAATTGACTCAAAAATAAGAAAAGAAAACTGCTAAATTAAATGTAATAATTTGCTATATTTAGTCAGCAAACAACATCCAGGTGC